CCGTTTTTGTTTTATGTGAAGGTGTGGAAGCAGAAAGGGGAAGAGTATCGCGTTACTGGCTATGGGGGCTGGAGTTGGATCAGTAAGACTTATGTGCAGAGATTTGTCCCCAGGCTTCCCGGCAACACCAACGCCAACTACCGCAAAGAACTGGAAGGTCTGGAATGGGAAGCTCTGGGACCTAAAATGTGGTTTTTTGATTATTTGGAATTTTGCTTTCTGTATCTTAGTCTGTTTTGCCTCTTGAGAGTGAATTAGTCTCTTGTTTAGTAACGTCAATGGTGGCATCGGTGAATTAAATATCTCTTTTTATGTCTCTTTGGATGTCATTGAGTTATATTTTCTGTGTAGCTTTCAACATTCTACTGAACTTTGTCTGAACTTTTAATATAATTTTGCTCATTCATCAAAGATGCCCCTTTTAACTTTGCGTAATTATCTCAACTGTGTGTCAACCCTTCAAGATAATCCTTTTCAAGTTTGTTTACTTTGAATAACCGATGGGTTGTGCTTCTAAGTTCTCTGATGAATGGCAGTTATTAGTGGACCCAGATGTGTTTTGAACCAAACTAATTTGAAAAACAAACTCTCATTCTATTTACCAAAGATGCAAAACTTGGCAAGAAATGTACCCTGCTGGACTTGAGTCGACGGCCCAGTGTAGCTGCACCAGAAGCTCAGGGAACTGCTACCTTAAGCAGCGAAACAAAAGAGCAAGACTCATCTAGCGTCTCCGAGCCTCCAACAGATCATCTGATGCCTGCTGAGGATCTGGCAGAGGAAAAGAAAGAAGAGATGCAAGAAAAAGAAAAGACAGAGGAATTGTTAGCAGATGAGTCGGCAGCAAAGATGGAGGTGGACCCTACAGACTCACGATCAGATGAAGAGCAAAGTATGATAGAGTGCTACTTCATGTCTAAAAGCATTGTATTCAATTTCATGTAAAGCACCACTCATGTTTCATGAGTGATGCTATATTTTAAACTTGGCATCTAATTACCGTGGAAATACTTTCACTCTGATATAGTATTTTGCAGAAGTTGTTTCACCTTAATTGGTTTCCAACCTGATGAGAAATTGTGAGGAGAGTGTGATTATCTTGTTTATTTTATCAATGCAAATTAAAGTCTACGTTTATTTCCTCACCAGAGTCCAGTATTCAGGAGGATAAGGTTCCTGTGAAGGAGGAGACTACTGAGAGCCTTCAACGACCCTTCAACTATGATGTAGTGGATGTCAGCCAGGGCTTCCTAACACGCATTGCCTACAAGAAGAAGGTCAAGTCCTCCAAGTTAGACAGCCTCCTGGAGCGCCGAGTGAAGCAGCATATTATTGAAGAGAAGCAGAGGCAGCAGGTGTCTGCCTCCAAATCCCAGACTCCTACAGCAGTTTCACCTACTTCGACCCCTGTTCTTAGCACTCCAGTCAGGCCACGGTCACCACTCAAGCCCCACACTCTCACTTCGACACAGCTTGTAATGGGCGAAACTGTGAAAGTGGAGGAGAAGTCATCCACAACACAAACTCCAGGGTCAGGACAAGTTCAAGGCGACAATCAGGTGAAACTCTCTGAAACTACAGATGAGAATGTCACTCCTCCTCTTCCTTCTCCTGTTCTGGTCTCCACATCCAAAGACGGTTACAGTACAGGTACTTGTGGAGACTTAGCTTCACCACAAAACCAAACCACCTCTCTGCCCCAGGAACTGGACGCAGACAGAGTGGAAAGGACTACGGGGCCAAAAGAAACCAATTCAGACAGTTCAGGGCAAGATGGTGTCAGACTTCCTGATGTTGAAGAAATAACAGCACTAGGAACTCGCAGCTCTTTAGAGCAACACACAGCCAGTGTACCATCAGATGTTACCAAGGCTGTACATATTGAAGGCGCAGGGTCTGAGATACCCAGCGTGGACTCTGTAAGGACATCTACAATGGTTCTGGACCAAAAAAGAAGTCAAAACACAACTCCTTCTAAAGCAATTCCACAAAACCCACCATCTTTAAGCTCAGTGCATTCACACGTTGAGGAAAACGGCATGGGGCCAGAGGAGAACCAAGGAAATAAGCAAAGTAGAACTCTTGGTGATAGCACTCCCAACTCAGTTTCTCCTCTCCCTCAGGTAAACGGTAATGATGGCTTGGGGAGTGAAAGCATGTTGACTAACTCTGTAATGAGGTCAAATAATGGTGTGCTCACCAGCAGTCCCCAACCCAAGGTGAACAGCACTGGTAAAGTTGATGAGCAAGGACTGATTGTTTTGCCAAAGGACAGTACACAGCAAAGGCCTTTAGTGAACGGAGATTTGGCCCCTGTAAATGATAGCACAGATGCTGGGATAAGGGAACCAACCCAAGCTTCTAAGGTAGCGATAGAGAGTAAGATAACAGTATTAGACCAAGACTACAAACCGCCACTGAAGATAACAAGGTTGGAGAACAACATAGATGTACATGCAGCTAGTACTCAAAGCACTGTACAGCACAACAACAGATCACTATTTCAGTCTATCGCACTCAAATCCAAACCAGTGGTCAAGATCATAAGAATGGCCCCCTCTCCTATACCTTCTGCAGAGGAGTCCAGTCTGAGTGATGACTTTGCAGAGGAGAACAGCAATAGTGGAACAACAGAACCACTCAAGACCATCATCACCCAGGTAACCACGACCACCACAACAGTAGTCTCCACAGAGAAGAGGGTAGGCAATGCGCCATCAAACACACACGGTGAAATCGTGTCAACAACAGAAAGCAGCGCAGTGTCCACTCTTACGACCATGACCAAAACAACAGTGACCAAAATCTGTTCCTCTGGGCTCGATGGTCAATCAGATGACAGCCAGAGTGAAACAGTGACACAACAGCAGAGAACAACACACTCCGCTTCTATCAGTAGGTCAGTAACTGACACCAGTGGTAAAACATCAGTGACATCCTTTGCTGTGAGCGAAGACGACTCTTCATCAACGAAGGGCCGTGTCCACCTCCTCAAGTTCTCCCGCACCAAGAAGATGAGATCAGACACGGCTCTTCCTTCTTACCGCAAGTTTGTCACCAAGAGCAGCCACAGGAGTATTTTTGTACTACCACATGATGACTTGAAGGCTCTGGCGAGGCGAGGCGGGTTCCGTGAGGTGGCTGTATTTAGTTACAATGCCAAGCCAGCCTCTGACATCTGGCCATATCCTTCACCCAGGCCCACATTTGGCATCACCTGGAGGTAAGCTTCTGTCTGTTTGTTTTTCTCACACACGAAAGCTTTTTACCCTTACCCCCAATCATTTCATTGTCTGTTATTAAGGTCCTGACTCTAACTGACTGCTGATATTCACACATGATGATGCAACTTATTTACAAAGGAAGTTACTGGTTAAGTATCACTTAATTAATTTCCATGGTGACACTTATTCTCTGCATTTGACCCATCTCAGCTGTTTCATTGATCAGTGGGACTTGGGGAGTGACTTGAGTTTATGGCCAACGTCTTGTTCAAGAGCAATGGCTGTAGTGTTCCTTATTGCAAACACACATCGCTTTGTGTGTGTGTGTGTGTGTGTGTGTGTGTGTGTGCGCGCGCGCGCCTGCGCACCCCTTTGTAGTACTTGCATTATGGGAACCGAAACCTGTTAACACACTCGCATTGCGGAAACTCGGCCAGAGGCTGGTCTCCACAAGGAAATCACTAAATTTTAGGGCGGCAGCATGGTCTAAGGGTGAGGTTAGGAGATGTGTGTGTGTGTATATATATATATGTATTTATTATGTGACATTTTCCTAAGGGAAGGACTTAAAGGATAAAGACAATATTATTTCTTTTCATCATCCACCTTTAAACCCTCTCCTGGTTTTGTGCCCTGTCCTGTTGATTTTTTGTTCATCATGTTTTCCCCATCCCTGTGTGCATCCGTGGCTTTGGCCCTGAGGCGGGTGTCAGGAAATGCTGGTTATTTTGACCGGACCTCAGAGTTCTGAAGCAGACATGAATCATATAGTGGTCGGAGAAGTGTCAGGAATGTTCACTTTGTGCAGTGACCCAGCCCTGCAACCCAAGGATATTCTCCCGCCTGTGGTTACACATGGGAAGCAGAACATCTGCCAAACCCTCTACACACACAGAGCCTCGTGATGATCGTGTTTTTGTATATGTTCAAAATATTTTACATGACTGTCCTGAGTGCCAGAGTCATTGTTGGACCAGCAATTGTAGAACAACTGTTCAAATTGTACACAACCAACATTTCCAGTTTTTGTTTTTTTTCTTCTTCTTCTTCAGTATAGCCATATATTTATCTTTTACTGATGTATAGGTGTGAAGTTGTAAACAGCACATAATACTTGTACAAGTGTTACATGCAGCTATACAGTATATGCCTAAAAGCTGAGCCTCTGGTTTGGGTTACAGATATCGCCTGCAGACGGTGAAGTCTCTGGCTGGTGTGAGCCTGATGCTGAGGCTCCTTTGGGCCTGTCTGAGATGGGACGACATGGCTGTCAAACCATCTGCTGCTGTTGGCACCACACGTACAGGTAGACCCCCTCACCTTCCCAAGCCATCAAATAAAAAAAAGTCCTTCATTCTGGGAGGAAAGGGGGAAAATACTTCTGATAAAAATAATCCAGCTGTAAATCTTTATTTTGGATCTTTGTTTATTGCTTTCTTGTCCTCTTAATGAGTTCTTACTTTTATGGCGGAAGATGTTGGCTTATACAATGTTGGCCCTAAGAAACATACAAAAATGCCTGTCTGAATAAGTCAGCCTTCAGTCTTGTTTGGGTGATGCTGTTATGTTGGAGTGCATTTCCTCCATCTTCTCGGGCTTTCCTCCTCATCACCATACCAACCCAGCCCTATCCCCACTCATTGCTACAGAGACCTCTGATACTGAGATCACCACCACAGAGATCATCAAGCGCCGTGACGTGGGACCGTACGGCATTCGCTCAGAATACTGCATCCGCAAAATCATCTGCCCCCTTGGAGTCCCCGAGACCCCGAAAGGTGTGGTGTTTTTTTAATTCCTGACACCAATGGAGCTATAAAAGCCTAGACCAATAAAAGAATCTTTGGACATCCTTGATAAAACTGTAACTGTAACTGAGGAAAAATGTTTGAACTCAGTCATGTGTGTCTGTATCTATCCATCGTTTTCATGCTCTTGTGTTGTATTGCATTGTTAATATATAATAATAAGAGAAATATCCAGACATACATAAAATTCTTGTGCTCTGTCTTCCCCAGCAAAACACAAAATGTAACTATTCTAGTGTTCTTGTCTTTTAATTGATTTATCTGTTGACCATCTCAGAAACCCACACCCCTCAGAGGAAGGGGTTGCGCTCCAGTGCCTTGCGCCCCAAGAAACCTGAGCCCACCAAGCAAACGGGCCCAGTGGTGATTGAGACGTGGGTGGCTGAGGAGGAGCTGGACCTCTGGGAGATCAGAGCCTTCTCAGAAAGGTAACTTACACCCACCATGTAGTGTCCACTGTGTGTAGTATGTCAGAACGATTCATAAACACATCATACTGGAGAGTCAGAGGCTTTTTGAGAGGGCGATTTTATTCCAGATATTCTCTTTGCTCTGAATTGCTTCCTGCCAAATGTGTGCGAGGTAAAATGGAGTTAATCAAAAGGCTTTTGTTCAAAATTTTTAAACCAATGATTTGCCTTTCATCATCCAGATCACTGCTGTCACTTATAAATGTATAGAATGCATGGAAACATTTGTATGGTATTTGGAATTATTTGTTTTCCAAGCTATTGTAATTTTTGGAATTTTCTTCTTACACATTTCAGACATGTTGTACACTTGATGAGATCTTTTTTTTTTTTTTTTTTTTTTATTTCAAAGGGTGGAGAAAGAGAAAGCTCAGGCAGCAGAGCAGGCCAAGGTGAGTGTGGTTTACTTCACTACTTCATCTAAGCCTTATTGTGGACAGAAAAAGCTGTGTAGTCTTAGCCAGTACTCAATCACTGGCTTTATACACTCCAGCTTTTCAAGCTAAGTTACTACCACAGTAAAAGACAGCCCATTCATTTCTGCTCATTTGGCCCAGCTGTAATACCTCACTTCTACACGATCTTTTTTTAAGTTTTGGCTTTTTGGCTTTTTGATATTGCTGTCATTGGGTCCCATATTAATGTACTGACCAGCATAATTACCATTTCAGAAACGCCTGGAGCAGAAACCAGGCTCCGTCACAGCTACTCCAACAGGGACTCCCACAACGCCTGTCACTATGCCCAAAGTCATTGTCGGTTCACTGTCAGGCCAGGGCACCCCCAGCACCAAGGTGGTACTGTCCACTAAGATGGGCACCCCCGTCACATTCCATCAGAACAAGAACTTCCAGCAGTCGTTCGCCACCTGGGTCAAGCAGGGTCAGAGCTCACAAGGTGTGTTATAGAGGAGTGTAACTGTTGGCTTTCAAGGGACAGAAGATGCAGTTTTTCTGTTGTGCGTTATTAGAAGTAGTGATATTATTGGATTTACAGTAGCGACCGTATTTGTTGTACTTTTTTGCTGTATTAGGAGCTAGCACGGAGACCACCGTGGCCACATCTGGTGGACCCACCTTCCAGATCACGGGAACCTCAGTGGGGGGGAAGGTAGTGACCACCAAGCTGCCACTGCCCGCCAACAGCAAGATCGTCACAGTCAACATGCCAACTTCACAAGGAGGTACAGCAGATTTTAAAGACTCACACCTCATTAAAATGTAAACTAACACTAGAGGGTACAAGTTGTATTTATTCAATACAGACATCTCTTCTTTCCACCCTTCACCATTTCAGGATCCCTGTGTGTTTGTGTTTTGTATTTTGACTGGGTTTTTTTTTCCACCTTAGACCCACACAGCTGAAACTTTTCAGATGCATCTAAAGAGCCAAATTAGATCTGGCTTATTAATTGGATGCTACTGTAAGCAGTTTAAGTTGCCAACCGTGCTCACAGTGCTTCAGAAGCACTGAGCCTGTCTTCATTTGTTTTAAATGTTTTTGGTGCCAGCTACCACAGGCCCAAATATTTTGAGCTCTTTAACTTAGACATTCCTCTGTCCTTGATTGCCGCTGTCAGCGAGCCAAGTACTCACCATTTTTAGAACTCTAAACCTAGAGGGTTCAACTGTTCAGATGCTGGTCTCTGTTAAACGCACTGCTAAATACACTCTTTTTGAATCATTTACACAGTAAATTTTACAATGACACTAGTGCAGTTGTTTAATTTTACATGCTGGAGAATACACACTTTTAAGACGATTTATTTCCAGGCCTCCGAATCATCGGCCAAGCCCCTTATTTAAGCATTTCAGTAACTACACTAGATGCATCACACACATCCTGTGACTGGAAGCCAATGCACTATAATGTATTTTTTTCTAATGATAAAATGTATGCCATTTAGGAGTTTAAAGCCACTGCAGAAACACGGGAGACAGTGATGACGTAAAGGAACACACGTAAACCTGTCCAGCTACAATACTGGGCTTTGTTGTTCCATCTGGCTCCATTTGCCACAAATGTAAAAGGTGCTAACAGTTCAGAAACCACCTGTAGCTCACTGTGTTTTGTGCCACTGTGGTAGCCTGTGGTGCCCACTGTGTTCCAACCTCAAGAGTCAGCAGCTTAGTTTGACATGAAACGTCATTGTCTGGTTGTGTGTTGTTGGCATGGTAATCTAATAGAAAGCTGTTATTTTGGTTGGATGGTTTTTAGGATGTAGACTTGTGTAGTCTGAGGTTCATTCAGAATCCAGGCTCTTAAGTTAGGTGTGTGTGTGTGTGTGTGTGTGTGTTTTTGTTTTGTTTTACTTTTTTGAAATGTTAATGTTACGACAGCACACCGATACCACCATGAGGAAAAAAAACTTAATCTGTATCTCATTATAATGAGAAAGTTTTCAATGAGAGTTTATCTCATCTCTACGAACTCCGTGATCTGACACTACATCTATGTACAATAATCATACATAGACACACTAAATGACAGGAATGATAAATAAAGACCACCCTGCACATGTCCGGATTAGTCATGTTACAAGCACTTCCTATAGGCTTAGGGTTTATATTAGGAATGGAAATGGTAAGATCCATTTTAGGGGTTTGTGCTGTGCATTGTAGTAGGCGATACATTAAATGTGTCATTTAATACAAATCTGCTTAAATCAAAAATGCAATCACCAGATAAAAAGTATTACACAAGAATACAAAGAGTGATTTTTCTTACCTCTGAAGTTACCATGAAGGAGAAAGTAAGTACAGGTGGAGTGTAACCATTTAACGGACGCGTGTATTTATCCAGCAGAACTGTTGGGTGCCCTGTTTGTTTTGGAAGGACTTAAGGAAGTTAGGGAGGAAAATAAGTTTACCCTGAGGTAAGCTTCCAGACAGGTAGCCCTCTATAGTGGGATTCCACTTTTCTTTTTTCCCCTCCATCGTTTTGAATGAAAGTGTACCTCTCCACTGACCAGAGTCCCAACTCCCCAACCTCTCCAAACAGCCAGTCCATAGAAACAAGTGTTTGATGTGTGAGCAGCTACTCCCCAGGTCTGTGGACCAGGTTGTAACGTCCCTGTTTGAAAAGGGAAACCCTTGATGTATAGGTTTACCTGCTTGGTTGCGGTTGAAAACCCGCAGCAACAGAAAAGAGCAGCACTCTCATGGTTTCTGTTTCTGCCATCAGCTTCATGTGAGCTCATGAAGGCACAGAGCCAGTTGAACAAATACTCAATGTTCCCTTTGTCAGGTTAAAGCTAAAAAGTAGGATCCAAATTCATGCAGAATTTATGAGAGGGCTCAGATGTATGTGCGGAGGGGGGGGGACCCAAGTAAGCTCTCAGTCAGCCTTTGAAAATCATGTTTACCTGCTCAGCTAATATTTACTATTGCTGTGATCAAAAGCTGGCCATCCAGTGACGGGAGAAGCCCGCAGATAATGTACTGAGCTATGTCAATGCAGGACCTCTGCACAACTGCTCATGTTTGCCATGCAAATGTGATTATATATGGGGTGATTTTAAAATTTGTGAGAGGATGTTTGATGTACAGGCAGGAATATGACAAATAAATATCACTGCTCTAAAAAAAATGTAAGTAGATGAGCAGTCCTTCTAGGATACAGTACAAAACTGTATCTTAAAAGCACACATCTCAATGCTTTTGGTATCTATTTGTCTCTGTTGTGTTAAGCACTTTTAATTTGCCTTTGTATATGAAAATGTGCTATATAAATAATATTTCAGATTGACAGACTGCTGCCTTGGAAGCCTTGTCTTCATAGCATCCCTCTCGTCTTGCCTCTTTCTTCAGCCTTGGCACCTGTTCACTC